GAGCTGATAACAAGGATGTTTTGGTTTGGCCAAGGACTTTGTGAGCCTCATGCTCTGCCAGGGAGGAGGGGAAGCCGGGAGGAAGCAGAGACAGGACACCTGACCCAAACTGACCAAAGAGGCATTCCATACCACAGCATGTCATGGCCAGGATGTAATAGAGAGTTACCTAGAAGGGCTAGGACTGGAGGGTTGGAGGAGGTATGGGTCGGTGCTTGGTTGGGCTGGGGGGGGGCGAATTATTGGTTGGCTGGTGGTGAGGTGATGTGTTCTCTTCCCTTGTTATTTCCTTTATCATTATTATTATTGGTGGTAGCAGCAGTGATCTGTGTTATACCTTAGTTACTAAACTGTTCTTATCTCAACCCGTGGGAGTTGCATTCTTTTCGATTCTCCTCCCCCTCCCTCCAGGAGTAGGGGGAGGGCAAGAAGGAGGGGAAGTGAGTGAACGAGTTACCTGACTGGGTTTAAACCACCACAGCATGTAGATAAATGATTAAACTAGCCAAATTAGGTAGCATTTACTATTGTTTCTTTTTCCATTACATTAAATAAATTTAGTAAAGAAAGCAGTATATACTCATTTAAGGAATCCTCTTGTGTTTTTTAGTTTTCTGTAAAAGAGATCTTCCTAAAGGGAAATAAGCAATATACACAGAGCATGTCCTTTGTTGCATGAATGCAGGTGCTCCTTTGGAATCAGTTCCTAATACTATTTGTTCTTTAAATATATATCTAATTTTTTTTTCCAAGTGGCTAATTGAAAACCCCCCAAAAACCAAAAAACACCACAAAATAACAAAAGATATTTTGTCAGTCTCAGGATGAAAACTATCACATAGTCTTAGCTCAGAGAGTGTTCTGGTAGTTTTTCCACGCCAGAAATGACAGATTTGTTTGCAACTACACTTCTCAGTGATAGTCCCCTATAGAACAGACTGACTGTGTTAGCCTGTTCTTGAGCCCACCTAGCAAGTCCCAGAGACATAATAATAATATTTATTTGAGATTTTCTTTTTTTTTCTTTTCCGAGTGGTGGGGTTTTAGGGTTTTCTTTTTCTTTGTTTAAGCATCTGAACTAATGCAAAAGCTCATCAGAATAATTCTTTCTAATGAAGCAGAACCTGTGCTGCATGTTTTGGAGAATGGTATGAGGGTACCTGGGGGTTGCCAAAGTGTAAAAGACCTGCCAAGTACGATGTTGGGTGACTGAGCAGAGGTGCAAAACTCCATTCCACTTCCTGGATGTAGTCCATGGAAAAAATCTTTCTCCAGAACAAGAAAAAAAAACTGTTTAATCCTGGAGAAAACTAATTGTTCTGTTCCAAGAGAGAGCCCAAGAGTTAAATTGTCTGCATAATAGGGATGATTTGGGGATTAGGAACTAAACCACAGTAAAGTGGAAGGGTAAGTTATCCGCCTTTGTAGAAACAGCTGTTTCTCAGTCTCCACCCCAGAGAAGTAAATAAAGTTTCAGTCTTTAAAGTTACAGGTCAAAATGGTGCTCCCAGTAAAAAGAGGCGTTTGTTATTCCTCAGAGTTAATTTCTATGCCTATGCTACTGACACCGGAGTTTGCCTACTTCCTATTTTCACTGCATTCCTCCTTATAATTTTTTATTCTCTTCTTCTACCCTGCTTAGTACCTTGAAAACATGAATTCCAGTTTGTGAAGAACTTCTTAAATGCAAATACTCACTCTAAACGGTCCCACAATAACTTCTGAATCTGAGGAAAAAATACATCAGTCTATCCTTCCTGTGACACCAAAAAATGCACAGGTCTAGTAAGCTGTATCACTTTTTTTGATTATGTAAAATACCCTTGATAAATGTGTGTATGATGTTTGGTGTGTAGATTAAATAGGTACTTTTTTACATTTGCCTGTGGTGGTTCATTCAACATGTTTCCCCCCAAATGAATCATTTCCACAGAGGGCATATATTAGAATGGCTCCTTCTATATTCCTAGAGTTATTCAGATTGATAAGTGAGGATCCAGCCAAGTAAGACTGAAATGTTAACTAAAAAGAAATAAAAATACTGTATGTAAAAGTCTGTTACATTTCAGTTGAATAAAAAATGAAGCTAAAAATTGCAAAATTTCCATGATCTAGAGTATTTTTCTTTGAGGGATAGTATACAAACTGACATTTATCAGCTGATCCTGGTTTGCCAGATGTCCTTATGTTTGATAAATCTTTCAACCACACTAACTGCCAGGTATTTAAACATTCAACAGGGCTAAAGGAAAAAGTGGATCCTTGGTGTTGTAGTTACTTCACATTCACTCAGTTTATTTTTCTTCTACCAAGAATATTAAAAAAATTATAATAAAATAATTGAAATTTTATAATAAAATAATTGAAATTATAATAAAATAATTGAAAATAATTGAAAAATCAAAGTATAATCTCAAAAAAATTCTAATTTTTTGTCTAAAGTGATTATCACATTTCAAACTTTATATCTTAGAGGAAAAATGATTGCTATTTTGTTTTCTCACCTTAATATTCTAAGAAAGCAGATATATAAGAAAGCTCATCAGCTCGATACCCAAACACAATACATGACTCTGTAATCCATGAAAAATCCTGTAATATGGCAGAAGATGATGCCAAGTTATGGAAACTTGAACAAATGTTGTAAGGTTATTTCCCCCATACACAGGAAGTTGTGGAACCTTTCTAATAAATAAGCCTCTTGCCTAGTGTATCTCCTGTCAACTTTGTTCTCATTTCTGTTGGAACATGTTGCAAACCAACAGCTAATAGCTGCCAGCCAACTCTCATGCATACCTGTATTGACTGAACTAAGTTGCTGCTCATGAATAAGAAGAAATAGCTTTTGGAGTATCTGATGGAAGGTTGTTTAATACTCACATTGGAGCTCTGAATGTTCAAAATAGGAAATATTTATGTGCTTTTAAAATATCTAAAAATAATAGTGAAATGGGGTAATAAAAATCTATAGAAATGAGCAATTTATGACTAATAAAAGGTGGCCTTATTCTTGAAGATATGTAATCCCCTAATTATCCACAAAATCTTGGATCGGATGTTTATTATTTGCATCCTTACCATTTGCCAGCGCGTTCTTGGCAGACCTTTTAGTGGTATCAGCAGGAAAAAAGGACATGAGCTGGAAAGCATTAAAAAATAATAGTCAAAATACAATTTTGGCATGTGATCCTCTTATGAATTTTACATTGAGCTGTTAAAATACATTCACTACCTCCATAACAAAGAGGTAACAGGTTTACCAAGAAAAGGGGATTTTAATATGGTCAAATAGCTTTAAGAACTTGGGTTGAGCTTCTTTTTCTTTCAGGTTCATGTATAAGGAGCATTGAGAAAATTGCCCTTCTAAAGATCACCTACTTGACCTGCCATTTAGACAATCCTCCACCAGGAGGACTGTGATGTTGGTGTTTTCAACTTCCTCACTCTAGGATGAACTTTTCATCTCTCCTAACACTGCTTTACAGCTTGATCTTTCTTCACTTGTCTGCAAGTTCATGATGAATCCAAATTTACTGTATATGGTGCATTTGACATAAATTTTTGTTGTTACCACTGAAGCTGGTTTTGTCAGACTCCAGATCTGCATTTTTTTTAAGTGAACACTAGTTGGTTGTTTAGAGCTACAGGGCCTCCAGTGTCAGTCTATACCCTGACTCTAATCAATATGTGCCTGTATTCCTCTCCACTGCATCTTGTGTCACCACTTCTCAAGGAGTGTGCTTTCATATCAGGGTTATATTTCTTCATACACGTTTTTGTTAGTCATAAGAAAATTCTCCTGTTCAGAAGACCTACTGGTTGCTATTAACTATATACAAAGTTTGGTTATACCATGTGAAAAGTAAAAACTCCAACTTAAAGGTAGCCAGCTGATCATTAGAAAAATTGCAGTTACATCTAAACCAAATGGAAACGGAGTTCCAGGTAGGACAAGAAAAGTTCAGAAAAAGCAAAGCTGACAAGTTTCAGTTCTGAGGCCTTGCAAACTCAGTGTAAAGTCAATGGCTTACTACTAGCAATGGTAATACTCTTTCTCCTGGGTTACAAGACAATAGCGCACATTTGTGTTCAGGCCTCTTAAGGAAGTCAATAGCATAAGACTGCCACCTCCAGAAAGCTGTTTATTTCTTAGGTGCTGTCGTGGTTTAAACCTAGTCAGGTAACTTGTTCACTCACTCCCAGTGAGTGGTGCCGAGCTGACAACAATCGAGGTCCATCCCCCCACCCGCACCGGGGCTCTCCCCTTCTCTGCTCCTGGAGGAATGGGGAGGAGGATCGAGAGAGTGCAACTCCTACGGGTTGAGACAAGAACAGTCCAGCAACAAATCACCACCGCTACTATCAACTACAACAATGATAAGGGAAAATAACAAGGGAAGAGAATACGATACCACCGGCCAAGAAAACGAGTTCCACCCGGAAGCCCCTGTCCTTCCGGGTAACTCCCAGTTACCCCTCACCCCGGGCATGACGTGCTGTGGTATGGAATACCTCCCCGGCTAGCCCGGGTCAGGCGCCCCATCTCTGCTTCCTCACGGCTTCCCCTCCTCCCTGGCAGAGCGTGAGCCTCACAAAGTCCTTGGTCAGGGTAAACATCACTTAGCAACAACTGAAAACATCGGCTTCACCAACACTGTTCTCAAACTGGAAGTCAAAACACAGCACTGCACCAGCTAACACAAAGGAAAAACATGACTGCTACTGCTGAACCCAGGACATTATCCACCCCTTATTCTATACCATTCACGTCGTGCTCAGATCCCACATTTTCAATACACCATCACTCTCCCACATATATACATCCATATACATACAGACCAAGAGGAAAAGATCATTTTCTTAGTGCATGGACCAATCCCTATAATGCTGCAGAGTCCATTCGGCCCATGATGTTCAAAGTTCATTCTCTGTTGGGATGATGGCTGGAGGGAAGTCAGGGCCAGTTGCTGGTGACCTGGAGACATCTAGTTGACGGGCTATAAAAGTATTACACAGCAGGCAACAGCATACAATTGAGTTCACTGGCTGTTTTCCCCTAAAATCAAATCCCCTTGAGGTATACATCGGACTTCCCCATCTTCCCGCATTACCCACCAAGTATATCCACGTCCCTGAGCAAAAGCAATCCCACGAGTGGGTTTGACTTTACCTGAAGCAGGAATTACCCAGACTGTCTTCCCCAGCAAATTCTTCATATGCACCACGGGAACTTTGTCCCCCTCTACATTATGTAAAAGTTCTGACTGGGCTGGGCCAGCCCTGTTGGCAGATCCTCTGGTGTTGACCAACCAGGTGGCCTTTGGTAAGTGTGTATCCCAATGCTTGAAAGTTCCCCCACCCATTGCTCTCAGTGTAGTTTTTAACAGCCCATTGTACCGTTCGATTTTCCCAGAGGCTGGTGAATGGTAGGGGATGTGATATACCCACTCAATGCCATGCTCTTTGGCCCAAATATCTATAAGGTTATTCCGGAAATGAGTCCCATTGTCTGACTCAATTCTCTCTGGGGTGCCGTGTCGCCACAAAATCTGTTTCTCAAGGCCCAGGATAGTGTTGCGGGCAGTGGCATGGGGCACAGCGTATGTTTCCAGCCACCCGGTGGTTGCTTCCACCATGGTAAGCACATGGCGCTTGCCTTGGAGGGTTGGTGGCAGTGTGATATAGTCAATCTGCCAGGCCTCCCCATATTTATACTTCAACCATCGTCCTCCATACCAAAGAGGCTTTAACCGCTTGGCTTGTTTAATTGCAGCACATGTTTCACACTCATGAATAACCTGGGCAATAGTGTCCATTGTTAAGTCCACCCCTCGGCCACGGGCCCATCTATATGTTGCATCTCTGCCCTGATGGCCTGAAGTGTCATGGGCCCACCAGGCCAAAAATAATTCACCGTTATGTTGCCAATCTAAGTCCATCTGAGCCACTTCAATCTTAGCCGCTTTATCCACTTGTTGGTTGTTCTGGTGTTCCTCAGTGGCCCGACTCTTGGGTACATGGGCATCTACATGACGTACCTTCACCACCAGGTTCTGCACCCTGGCAGCAATACCTTTCCACAGTGCAGCAGCCCAGATGGGTTTACCTCTGCGTTGCCAGTTGCTCTGCTTCCATTGCTTCAACCACCCCCACAGGGCATTTGCCACCATCCATGAGTCAGTATAGAGATAAAGTACTGGCCACTTTTCTCGTTCAGCAATGTCCAGGGCCAGCTGGATGGCTTTCACCTCGGCAAACTGACTCGATTCACCCTCTCCGTCAGCAGTTTCTGCAACTTGTCGTCCAGGACTCCATACAGCTGCCTTCCATCTCCGATGCTTTCCCACAATATGGCAAGAGCCATCAGTAAACAAGGCATATTGCTTTTCACTTTCTGACAGTTTATTATATGGTGGGGCCTCTTCAGCGCGCACCACCTCCTCCTTTGGTGACATTCCAAAATCTTTGCCCTCTGGCCAGTCCATGATGACTTCTAGAATGCCTGGACAACTGAGATTTCCTATTCGAGTTCGTTGTGTAATTAGTGCAGCCCATTTACTCCATGTAGCATTAGTTGCATGATGTGTAGAGGAGACCCTGCCTTTGAACATCCAGCCCAGCACGGGCAACCGGGGTGCCAGGAGGAGCTGTGCTTCAGTGCCAATCACTTCCGAAGCAGCTCGAGCCCCTTCATAGGCTGCCAGTATCTCTTTCTCAGTAGGGGTATAGCTGGCCTCAGATCCTTTATATCCCTGACTCCAAAAGCCGAGGGGTCGACCTCGAGTCTCCCCTGGAGCTTTCTGCCAGAGGCTCCAGGTAGGACCGTTCTCCCCAGCTGCAGTGTACAGTACATTTTTTACATCTGGTCCGGTCCGGACTGGTCCAAGGGCTACTGCATGAACTATCTCGTGTTTAATTTGCTCAAAGGCTTGTTGCTGCTCAGGGCCCCATTTAAAATCATTCTTCTTCCGGGTCACATGATAGAGAGGGCTTACAATCAAACTGTAATTTGGGATGTGCATTCTCCAGAACCCCACTGCACCCAAGAAGGCTTGCGTTTCTTTCTTATTAGTTGGTGGAGACATTGCTGTTATCTTGTTGATCACATCTGTGGGGATCTGTCTACGTCCATCTTGCCATTTTATTCCCCAAAATTGAATCTCCTGTGCAGGTCCCTTGACCTTACTCCGTTTTATGGCAAAACCAGCTTTCAGCAGGATTTGGATTATTTTCCTCCCTTTCTCAAAGACTTCTTCTGCTGTATCGCCCCACACAATAATGTCATCAATGTATTACAGGTGTTCTGGTGCTTGCCCCTGTTCCAGTGCAGTCTGGATCAGTCCATGGCAAATGGTAGGGCTGTGTTTCCACCCCTGGGGCAGTCGGTTCCAAGTGAACTGGACACCCCTCCAAGTAAAAGCAAACTGTGGCCTGCACTCTGCTGCCAAAGGAATTGAGAAAAATGCATTGGCAATATCAATCGTGGCATACCACTTGGCTGCCTTTGACTCTAGTTCATACTGAAGTTCTAGCATGTCCGGTACGGCAGCACTCAATGGTGGTGTGACTTCATTCAGGCCACGATAGTCTACTGTTAGTCTCCATTCTCCATTAGACTTTCGCACTGGCCATATGGGGCTATTGAAGGGTGAGCGGGTCCTGCTGATCATCCCCTGACTCTCCAGTCTACGGATCAGCTGATGGATGGGAATCAGGGAGTCTCGGTTGGTGCGATATTGCCGCCGGTGCACTGTTGTGGTCGCAATTGGCATTTGTTCTTCAACCTTCAGCAACCCCACAGCAGAGGGATCTTCTGAGAGACCAGGCAAGGTGGACAGCTGCTCAATTTCCTCAGTCTCCAAAGCAGCAATACCAAAAGCCCACTGGTACCCTTTTAGGTCTTTGAAGTACCCTCTCTTGAGGTAGTCTATGCCGAGGATGCATGGAGCCTCTGGACCAGTCACAATAGGGTGCTTTTGCCATCCCCTCCCAGTCAGGCTGATTTCAGCATCCAGCACAGTCAACTCTTGGGATCCTCCTGTTACTCCAGAAATATAGATGGGTTCCACCCCTTGACAGCTTGATGGCATCAGGGTACACCGTGCACCGGTATCTACTAGAGCCTTATACTTCTCTGGGACTGATGTGCCAGGCCAGCTGATCCACACAGTCCAGTAAATCCGATTGTCCCCTACCTCCACCTGGCTGGAGGCAGGGCCCCTCTAATGGTCGTCACAGCATTGGACACTTAAGTTGTGGTGAAAGGGATTATTCTTCGTTATCACAGGAGCTGGAGTAAAATCAGCTCTTCCATTCCATCTGGGAAACTGCTCACCAGAGACTGAAGCCGTAGCTCTCATGGGACGATCAGTCTTGGCCCTTGCTCCCCTCTTCAGTTCACTCACCCTTTCCTCCGAAGCTGAAGCAGGTTTCCCATCCCACTTTGTCATGTCTTCTCCGTGATCCAGCAGGTAAAACCATAGGGTAGCCCATGGCGTATACCTCCTGTATCTCCTCTCGAGCAATAGGACACCTTTTGTTAATAGCTGAGATGTGTGTTGGTACACGTGAGGAGCTGGATAAATCAGATAGATCGTCCCTCAATTGTTCGAGGTCCTGGGACAGTTTTTTCACAGCTGAGATGATGGAAGGGTGAGATTGTCTTCGAATTCTCGGAGTTTATGAACCATTTCATCCACTGTTAGTGGTACTATGGCATTCCAGGTTACTGTTGCCAATGAATGGGCATATGATGACGGTGCATTGGGTGTAAGTTTTCGCCACATGGGTCGTGTACATTCAACTTCATCTGGATCTATAGGTGTATCCCCGTTATTTGGCTTGATGTGATAGAGCATCTCTACGATGGCCGATTCCTTCAGAGGCTGGATGCCTTTGTCTATAGTAGTCCACTTGGCCGAACGACTCGTAACATCGTCCTTGTACGGAAACCTTTCTTTCACAGCTGCCAAGAGCCGCCTCCAAAGGCTGAGGGACTTTTTCTCTCTTGCAATTGCTTTGTCAATTCCCCCTTCTCTAGCAAGTGATCCCAGCTGCTTGGCTTCTGTACCTTCTAGTTCGTGACCATCGGCCCCATTGTCCCAGCATCGGAGTAACCAGGTGATGATGTGCTCCCCTGGTTGATGGGTAAAATCTTTTCGCATATTCTGTAGCTCGGTTGAGGTCCAAGGTCGAGCAGTTACCTCTTCTTCTTCTTCATCATCATGTGATGATGACTCCTGATCAGATTCTGGACTGGGTGGTGAATTCATTGTTTCTTCATCTTGCTTCACCCTTTGTGCCTCCTTTTTGATGTTCTCTTGTGTACAGGGGCAACTGATATTGGTACGAATTGGTCCTCTGGTTTGGCTGCAGTGATTATCACTGTGGTTTGAGTAGCAACTGTACTTGTTGCTGGGGGTGATGTAGCTGCTGTGCTTGGAGCTGGGGTAACCGTGCTGTCTGTTGCAGTTGAAGTTTGAGCAGCTGCTGTACTTGCCACTGTGGTAGCTGCACTGTTCATTGCAGCCAAAGTTTGGGTAGCGACTGTACTTGTCACTGGGGTTGGTGCAGCTGCTGTGCTTGGAGCTGGGGTAACTGCGCTGTCTGTTCCGGTTGAAGTTTGAGCAGCTGCTGTACTTGCCGCTGGGGTAGCTGTGCTGTTTATTGCAGCCAAATTTTAAGTAGCGACTGTCGCTTTGCCCTCAGATCCGCCGACATTCTTTTCCTTTTGAAGGTGCTGGATAGTGTTGAACAAGGCCCTGTAAGCATAGGCCAAGCCCCAGCACGTTGCCATGATTTGTCCATCTCTGGTATGGCCAGAATGACCACACACCTCATTTAAGTGTTTTACTAATTCTTCTGGATTTTGCAGTTGTTCGGTAGTGAAATTCCAAAGTACTGGAGGGGCCCACTGACCTAGATACTTGCCCATACTATCCCACACACCCTGCCACTCATGGCTGTCCAGCCTCAGGGAAAATCTCTGGGTCCTCCTACATCGTCGTTTGACCCCAGACAAGACCCAAACCTGACTCTGCTTAACTCTTGAAATCAGTAGTGGGCAAAACACACTCTGTATGCGTGTTAGCATGGTGATTCCCATCACCACCAGCAAACAAGTCTCAACAGCATTAAAAGGCCATTAAAAACTTTAAAACTCTCAGATGTAAATGGTCTGGGGGGAGGACTGGGAGGGTAAAAGGATGTCTCCTTCACAGGTTGAGCACCTGAGAAGGAGAAAAAAGATGTGTAATTGCTAAGCACCTCCATCATATACCTCCCAAAGTATAAAGGTGGTGACCACACTGGGAACATAAGCCAGATCAGTTTCATGATCAATGATTCTATTGTATTACAAGTCATTGCCATAAAGTACAATGGGACAAAAACCTTAGCCCAAGCCCCACACTTGAAAAACACTAATACAGCAAATACCGGATGGACGTAAGATACTATATACTGAAACTGTGAGATCAAGAGGAACAACCTTGAGAGCCAATAAATCAGCATTGCGACGAGTGACTATCAATCCAGTCAGATCTGTTCTTATCTCAACCCCTCGTGCCCCACGTTGGGCGCCAAAAAGAACTGTCGTGGTTTAAACCCAGTCAGGTAAGTTGTTCACTCACTCCCAGTGAGTGGTGCTGAGCTGACAACAATCGAGGTCCGTCCCCCCCCTGCACCGGGGCTCTCCGCTTCTCTGCTCCCGGAGGAACGGGGAGGAGGATTGAGCGAGTGCAACTCCTACGGGTTGAGACAAGAGCAGTCCAGCAACCAATGTACAACACAAATCACCACCGCTACTATCAACTACAACAATGATAAGGGAAAATAACAAAGGAAGAGAATACGATACCACCGGCCAAGAAAACGAGTTCCACCCGGAAGCCCCTGTCCTTCTGGGTGACTCCCAGTTACCCCCCACCCCGGGCATGACGTGCTGTGGTATGGAATACCTCCCCGGCTAGCCCGGGTCAGGCGCCCCGTCCCTGCTTCCTCACGGCTTCCCCTCCTCCCTGGCAGAGCATGAGCCTCAAAAAGTCCTTGGTCAGGGTAAACATCACTTAGCAACAACTGAAAACATCGGCTTCACCAACACTGTTCTCAGGCTGGAAGTCAAAACACAGCACTTCACCAGCTACCACAAAGGAAAAAACATGACTGCTACTGCTGAACCCAGGACAGGTGCTAAAGCTTGCATCATTTTTATGCGGTAATTAAGTTTTTAAGCTAAGCTGAATGAATACAGGCCTTTATGCTCCCTTAGTGCCAATGTGATGGTGACAGGAAATGAATAGCAGGGATTAAAAAAAAAGAGACAAAATCTAAAGGATTATAGAAACAAATAGCAGATTCTTTTCATGACAGAGCTGAGACTTGGGTCTTTTTAAGATTGAGATCCCTTGATTTCTCAGCTACTGGCTATAGAATAATCCCC